CAATAACGACCGCGGACCGCATGGCATTGTCTTGGAAAAATTATAGTTCTCTGAATCTCTTGACCGTGGACCGCACAAAAGAGTAGTGCGGCCGCGGAGCCCTGATCGCGGACCGCGAGATATGTACCGCGGCCGCATTGCCCTTGAGCCCAGTTTGCCAACTCTCTGAATCTCCTAGTGCGGCCGCATACCAATTTGCGCGGTCCGCACTAGGCCTTCTTCCCTTAGATTTCTTGGTCTTTGATACTTTAACAGGTTTCACTCCTTTTTGAGCCGATCTTTGACATTTCGTCACTTTGTCGATCAAACCTGCAAACAAGCACAACCTGTGAGCCTTTTGGGACTATTTTGTATAAATATATGATCAAAGCATAGGCAAGTAGGGGCATAAAATATGTTAAAATCCTAACTTATCAGTGCCCTAATGCAAAATCATTCTAGCAACAGCTAACATAAAAATGCACCACAACAACCCAAACTCAGCCCTTACATTCACTAGTAGGTCCTGGTCTGGCACTTGGTCAACGCTTAGAGGAAAACCATTCAACAACATTCTTAATTGGGAAGACCTCTTTCCCTTTGGCTTCTGGCAGCTCTGGATTACTAGGAATAATAACCTCTTCAACAACAAAAAGGATAGTGTCCCTACTTCTGTTGTTTTGGCTAAGGCAACTGAGTATATCACTATCTCAGTTAACCAAACACCCATAAAAGAGAAGACCATCTGGGTCAAATGGGTTCCCCCGTTAACAGGCCATTACAAGCTCAACAGCGACAGGGCAACTATAGGGAATCCTGGGAAGGGGTGTGTGGGAGGAGTCTTCAGAAAATCCAGCGGCAACTGGATGCTGGAATTTATGGGAAGTCTGCCTCACACCACAAACACCCAAACTGAACTTCTTGCAGTGCTCAACGGTTTACAAATTGCTGAGCAAAGAGGCTTCATACCCCTTGAAATCAACATTGATTCAACAGAGGTAATAAGAATGCTTAACTCGGGTAACCATGTCTTTGATTCAATCATTTTTGAATGCTAGTCAATCATCCTAAGATTAAGAGACGTGGTGGTGAAGCACAGCTACAGGGAGACGAACAAAGTAGCTGATCTGATGGCAAATGAGAGCACAAACAAAGATTTTTTTGGTAGAACAAGAACTATGACAGTTCCTCTGATGTCTGCAAATGAAGTTTTTTTGGATAGACATCTTAGGAACTGTTTTTCCTAGAATTTTTTTGGATTGTAATATAATACTTTTGATCATAGCTCAGGGGTTAACTCATACCCCCCCTGAAAATAATGCACTTGTTTAGCTATAGTTGGTAATATATATATATATATATATATATATATATATATATATATATATATATATATAACCAAAAAAAAAACTCAAAAAACTTAAATGTTGCAATATTTTGACGACCATACTTGGACCAATTAAAAAATAAAAAAATTATCCATTAAACAAAACTTTTTATTATGGAACCGTTATCCTTATTATTTTCTATATACTAAACTAGTCATTATATACTATTAAAATATATTAGTATTCCAAGAAAAATAAAATTTTACCCTTCAACCATAATTCCTCGCCTCTCATCATATCTCGTGCTCGCTATACATCAATTTGGTTCCATTTTTCTTGTACAATAATTTCTAGGCAAAATACATAGTTTACCCATTGACCTTGCATTCAAATTTCTGTTACACACGTCTCCACCACGGACAACCTTTTACACACCCAATCTTTATAGAGTGTGTCTAAGACACACCACTTTGCTCACATGGTCAGTGCGTATCTTTACCATCAAATGAAGCGCGTGAACAGGAGAATTTTTGTATCAGATTTTAATTTTTTAGTTTTTTCTTTTTAAATTTTAAATAGGGTCATCTTTTTCCTTGTTTAAAAATCACCAAACTTACCATGGCTGCTCCTTGACACTTAGACCCACTTCTCTCCGCCCGATCTACTCTTCTCAAATAGATCTACCAAAAATTTTCATATCTCTTCTTGTTGATCATTAGTTTTTAGTTTTGTAGATTTTTTTAAAGAAATTATAATTAAAATTCAACAATTAAAACTCTTTGTAGTTCCACCAACCATTAAAGCTTGACTCAAGCGCATGTACAGAAAATTCTTTTCTTTTCTAGAAAAGCTTAGCTTGAGCTTTAATTTGTTATGGTTAAGTTAAATTGGATTTTCTAAAAATATCCCCAGCGATTAAAGCTTACCTCAAGCTTTTGCATATAAGCATATTCTTTAAATTTGTTAATGGGTAAATTTACAAATAATTAAATTGTAAAATTCTTAATCTTCTTCGCTAAGAAATGCACATTCCTCTTTATTATTACTACCTCGCTACTTCAGTTGTGGAAATCGAAAGAGCACGAACAAAAATTGAAAGCATGGTGATGACAGTTATGGTGGACATGATGAAGAAGATATGGCTATAATTGTAATTTTACGTGCTATCTTTTTATTATTAATCAGTGACACGTGTCACGACTTTATTGGCGCGTGACAATACATATGCTTTGAAAATCTGGTGAAGAAAAAAGTGGTATGTCTTAGACACACTCGACAAAGGTTGGGCGTGTAAAAGATTGCCCATGGTAAAGAGGTGTGTAACAGGGATTTGAATGCAAGGTCGATGGATAAACTCTATATTTTGCCTAATTTCTATATGCTTCAAATGAATATGCACTAACTGGGAGCGATAAACCATTGGATTTTATTAACCAAAGAGATTAAGATTATGAGAAAAACGATTAATGTTTTTTAAAACTTGTTCCTGAAATATAAAACGGTGCATTTGTTTTTGAATAACTTCTTTCAAAAGGACTTCCGCATCATATAAATATTTTGGTAGAAGACATAATATTTTAGAATCGAGGTTTATTAATTTTTTAAATAAGTACGTATCTCAACAATTTTTTTTGACTCAATCTCTTTAGAAAGAAAATCTTTTATAATATGATAGCTTGCTCCGGTCCCATAGGAAACTTTTGTACACTTGCCTCATTTGTTTTTTTTTTTAAGAATAAGATGTCTGAATCTGAATACACATCTGAATATCAAGATGTGTATTAAGATTAAGACATCTGAATCTGAATACACATCTGAATATATTAAGATGTGTATTAAGACCTGAATACTAAAAATTAAGACTATTTGATTTTTAACATCTCAATGCTAAAAATAAATCTTTATTTGAAAAATAATAAACGTAAAATCCAAATAAAATAATAACTAATCTAATATTCTATCAATAAAATGTATAGTTTTTTAAAATATGAAAGTTGTTGGTGGTGATGGCTAACGGGTGAATGCCGACTAGAGGCGATGGTTGGTGGTAGTTTTCGTTGATGATGATAGTTCATGCTAGTAGCTAGTAGTGATTGGTAGTGGTGGCGATTATGATTGAGGATGGTGGTGATGGGTGGTGATTGTTAATAATGGAGTCGGGGGTTTGTGATTGAGGAATGTGGTGGTGGGTGGTGATAGTTAATAGTGGCGGGTGGTGGTTTGTGATTGAGGAAGGTGGTGGTAGGTTATAATGATGGGCGGTGCCGGCTGTGGTTGTTAATGGTGATAGGGTGGTTGGCTGTGGTAGTTGAGGTGGATAAGTGTTGACTGTGGGTGAGAATGATGGTGGTCGGAATGGTGGGGACGGTGGATGGTGATGGTCGATAACGGTGGCGGCTATGATTGAGGATGACGGTATCGTGGTGGTGGTTGAGTATGGTGGTGGTGGTTGTGGTGGTGGTGGTGGTGGTGGCATGGTGGCAGTTGATAATAGTAGGCGGTGACGGCAGTTAATAATGAATATGTGATAGCATCGTAATGAAATTAAGTCTCTATTATAGATCTTAATCATACAGATCTATTCAAACACATTAAGTAGTTGTGAAGTAAAAAAAAAAAACACTTAATGATAAATAATTAAGATACAGACATTAAAAACAAAACGCACTTAATATCTAAGATGTGAATGATGACGTCTGAATCTGAATACACATCTGAATATCAAGATGTATATTAAAATTAAGACATCTGAATCTGAATACACATCTGAATATATTAAGATGTGTATTAAGATATGAATAAAAATAATTAAGACTGTTTGATTTTTAACATCTGAATGCATAAAATTTATCTTTATTTGAAAATTAATAAACATAAAATTCAAATGAAATACTAATATTCTATCAATAAAATATATTGTTTTTTAAAATATGATAGTTGTTGGTGGTGATGGCTAACGGGTGAATGCCGACTAGAGGCGGTGGTTGGTGGTAGTTTTGGTTGATGATGGTGGTTCATGCTAGTAGCTAGCAGTGATTGGTAGTGGTGGCGATTATGATTGAGGATGATGGTGGTGGTGGGTGATAGTTAATAATGTCGGGTGGTGGTAGTAGTTGTGATTGAGGAAGGTGGTGGATGGTGGTGGTAGGTTATAATGATGGGCAGTGCCAGCTGTGGTTGTTGATGGTGATGGGGTGGTCAGTTGTGGTAGTTGAGACGGTTGAGTGTTGATTGTGGGTGAGAATGATGGTGGTCGGGGTGGTGGGGATACTAGGTGGTGATGGTCGATAATGGAGGCTATGATTGAGGATGATGGTGGTGTGGTGGTGGTGGAGGTAGTGGTGGTGGGAGGGAGGGTGTGGTGGTGGTGGTTGATTATGGTGGCGGTGACGGCATGGTGGTAGTTGATAATGGTAGGCGGTGGCGGCAGTTAATAATGAATATGTGATAACATCTTAATGAAATTAAGTCTCTGTTATAGATCTTAATCATACAGACCTATTTAGACCCATTAAGTGGTTGTGAAGTAAAAAAAGCAAACACACTTAATGATTAAGATCTGAATAATTAAGATTCAGACTTTAAAAACAAACTATTTAATGTCTGAGATCTGGATGATTAAGATTTAGACCTCCGTTAAGTGCAAACAAATGAGGGCCTAAGTGCAAACAAATGAGCATGTTTCTAGCATTCCGATGGCATCCTCAAATGATACAAGTGTGCCATAAAAATCTGCCTTGCCCTTGTTACCCGTAGCTAAAAAACAACTTTGTCCGCCTAAACAGGGAAGGCCATGAACGGTTGCAGCGTTCCCCTGTTCTCAAGAAATGGTCTCACCACTCCTCAAATCATTGTCGCTCTTCTCAGAAATTCTCCCTTTCCTGACTTCTCCAATTTATATCATTGAATCATCGGTACGCCCTTTGCTTCTAAATTTGTTAATTCCCGTAGCCTTCAACAACATTACACGTTTGATCCCAAAATTGAAATAGGAGTTCCCGTCGAAGGGCAAATGATTCATTTAGAAAAGATCCGATACCAAGTGAATGAAGAAAAGTAGATCTGCTTTAGTTGCTAATAACTTTCCCTAATTCATATTTGTCCAGTTATTTGAATGTTTAAAGGTTTTCTTTCATCAAGTAAGGTAATATGTTATAATGTAAAATGGCACAAAACAGGTGCAATTAAATGTGCATTACAACAAGCAAAAGCTCAGTTCCTTTTCTGTACAATGAACTGAGAAAATCTATCAAGCTGTCTAGTTCTGATTATCTGAATTTTTAAATGCTAATAAAACTGAAAAAGGAAAGCTTTTTTTAAGGTTTTAATATATTTGCTTGTGCTAATTTTGATTTGGTGCCCTTTTTGTTGGGTGCATCTTTCAAAGCAAAAACAACTCTGCTTCAATCCCAAACAGATTGGGGTTGGCTATATGAATCCTCATTTTTCCATTTAAGCTCAATTCATACTATCATAACACAGTCAGTATATGTATTACGAAGATTCATCATGAATTGACATGTTTTAAGATTATCTAAATTTGGTCTACTTGATTGTATATGAGGTTTAGTCCCATCATATCCATAAAACTTAACTTCTACAGAAGAGGAAAGTACTGTAGAGCAGAGTTCCTTGAGAGTGAGAATCAACCAAAACTCCTAAATAAAACAAGTCTTAACCCATAATTTGCTCTTCTCTATCAGCTCGCAAGATAGATCTGATATAGTGATAACCATCAAGTAAATGATACTGATTACAACCATAGCATTTGTTGTGTGTTGCCACTGACGGCTTGCTTCTTTCTTATACCAGACGCAGAAACTCATATCTTTGGATATGTGTGTGATTTAATATTAATAAATAATATGAGGTATCAAGGTTAGTCCTGTAGGTGTGTACATGCAATTTTAGAGGTTTTTGTGCTTTCTTTGATATGTAATGTAAACTTTTAGGAGTTTCATTGTTATAGCAAATGTATGAGTTGTAATAAACAAATAAGGAAATTAACACTCAAATAAAGGATATTGATTTTGCACAATTTGTAGTTATGTTTTCTAGCACTGCCTTAGTGCAAGCATTTATAAAATCTTTGATTACTTATCTAAAAAAAGGAAAAAAGAAAGGATATTGATTGCAGCAAGTGCAACATCTCTATCATCATTTCATCTGAGATCAGCGGGCAGACTTTCTCCTTATGCACCATAACAAACTCAATATCCCCATATCCTCCAAACAAGAGTAATATCCTATAGTCAAGTTGTGGCTTCTAGCTGATATCAGATCCATATTGGCAGAAAAGGAATTTGGTCAGCATTTAGCCTTCTCTTGCCGTCCTATATGAGGATAACGCAAGAGAACTGATAGTACCAGAAGAAAGCGAACAAAGTGATAAGGAAATAGTGTGAACTTTGTAAGTTAGAATGCAATACAAAGAGTGGGAAATGCTGTGTGCAAGGATTGAACCTGTAACCAAAGGTCACTTTTGCACCCCTTAACCGCTGGGCCAACACTTCAGCAATGTCAACTACAATAGTTTTTTGCACATTTCTTGAAAACAAGTGAACCCATTTAGGGGTATTTGTCTTCTAAAATAACTTATTTATTTATTTATAGGAGAAAGGACACCTCAGGAGTATGACACGGGTGTGGGTCTCATGGGGGTAATTATAATACCCTAAAAATTAGCAAAATACTTCACGAACCCATAGTGGATACTAACACCCTCCATTTGACTAGGCACAAGGTTTAAAAAGAATAAAAGACTTTTGTGACATAAGTTAAATGTATATAGATGCCTTGTCATTTCTATAAGAGTAATTTTATTAAAGGTAAAATAGGAAAGTTAAAAGTATATAGTTTCCAAAATATAGATGTGCCAATCTTCTTGGAACGGGCTAAAAAGAAAAGAGATTCATATAAAATGAAACAACGAGAGTAATACGTATCTGTGAATGAGTCCGTGTAACGTCAATCCAAGTGCAAATAGCTCCCCAGCAACCACACACCAGAGACTGTGATTGATAGTTTAACAAACCCTTTCATATTTTAAGAGTCAATGCCCTTGGCAAATTCAGCTGAACAAATCTCATGTCAATAAGCAAGGAATACCATGGCATTAGAATATTGTGTTTCAAATATTCCCATAGGCAAAGTAGTACTAAAAGTAACATGTCTCTATTTGATAAAGTGAAAATTTTTAGGCAGAGAACTTAATAATAACATCGGATTTCAAACGCAATACTTCTGTAAATATATACAAGCATATCCATAGTTTAAAATTGGTTATAGGGGTATATGTTATATGAAAGAGACTCTATTTTTATATTAAGAATGTCCATTTGCCTAGAAAACAAATGAAGAAAAGTCTATTTTTGGTATTTAGTGGAAGAATTTCTTAACAAGTATCTACTTAAATGATTATACAAACACAACCTCTTAAGTGGTAATTTTTTATCTTAAAGGCAAAACAGTGATAATCTTATCATTTAAACCCTTAATAGTTGTTCAATATGTCCTTAGAACACAAGCCTTGTTATTTCTATTATTTTCGCTCGTTATTAGCTTATCCATTGTGCTATTTATTCCACGATGGTCGTATGAATTGGAACGTGAGACTATGCATGGTTCATCTAATTTGTCATAGGTTGTAAAATAGTGAATCCAAAATCAATAATAAAAAGTGAAGTCAATATCATCTACGACAATACTAGTGAGCTGAAAACATATAAGACGAATCACACGACATTGTTGCTTAGCTAGAGCGCCACACTTATTCATCACAGGTCTCCTATATTGTCATTAACGAATAACACTGTTTGGATTATTGTTACCCATCGTTTTATAATGTATCGTATTGTACTGTATCGTTTTATGAATACAATGTTTGGATAGTTCGTATTGTTTGCTGTTTGGTTTGACTGTATTGTACTGTACTGTAACTGATATGTTTACTAAAATACCTTCAATTATTTTAAATATTTAATTTATCAGGAATTACACATAAAAGTAATTTAAGAAACCCCTTTCTACTAATTTATCACCAATTATGTCTTATATATAAATTAAGCAATTAAATTCATGCAAATTTTATTCAAATTAGTGGAACAAGTTAATAATATTAAAAACAATAATAAGTACACTTTGCACACTTGAAAACAACCAATATTATACAGCTAATTGGAGATAAAGTAATTAGAAGTGTAATTAAAATCAAAGTAAGAAAGAATGAAACAAAAGGAAAGCAAAATCTATACCTAACGTTGGAGTTGGAAGTGGGCGAAGGAAAAAAGAGACGAAGCGTAGGTTATAGGTTGGAGTTAAAATAAAAAAAATAAAGGGTAAAATAGAATTATAAAGTAATAAGTTAGGGCATAATTGGAAAGAAAAATGGAAAACAATCCCACCACACCAAATCGGTTGTTTCAAAAAATTGGACTTTTCATTGTTCCGGAACAATAGATATAACAATACAATACAATCAATTTTAATTAAAGATCAAAACAAACATTGTTTTAGGATAACAATACAATACGATACAATGGGTAACAACCATCCAAACAAGCTGTAAGTTTTTATTTCTAATCTAACATTCATTTAAAGATTAAGGATCAATGGTACTGGATTCATTAGCTTGAACGAAAATAATATATAGGCTTCAAAAAATCATGAGCACTTGTATGCAAAGCATATATAACATCTATAAAACATATCTAGGTTATGGTTAAAGCCTAAAGCAAGCATGGATACCTGTTTACTTAATTAAAAAAAAAAGGTAATCTTCGACAATTGGCGGGATACCTGTTTGCTTAATCAAAAAATAATGATTCTGCAAGTCCAATAAAACTTGGTAATCTTCGACAATTGGTGAGAACATACACATAAATTTTATGGTTTCCAGTTTGATTCACTCTCTCTCTCTCTCTCTCTCTCTCTCTCTCTCTCTCTCTCTCTCTCTCTCTCTC